CTCAGGCTTATTACTAACTAGCTCTTAATAACTTAAATTAACCCGTTTCTATTAATCTACATATTGCCATGTGACTCGTGGCTTTACCTCTCTTTGTCTCATAATGACTCTACTGACTCCACCCTTCTTCCCAGCATTCTCAGTTTGATTGCCTATACTTCTGCCTGGCTACTGGCCAGCCGGTGCTTTATTAACCAATGAGGTTATTCCACAGCAATTCTCCCCTTTTATTTAATTAAAAAGGAAGGTTTTAACTTAACATAGTAAAATAATATGTAACAAAACAGTTATTAAGTAAGAATTACAGTTATAATATCCAGCCCATTTGTATTTGGCAAATTTAGAGGAAATACTGTTATCTTATTTTTATGACTCTAAAGTTTTATACCTAATTAACCTTTTATCATAACTAAGGAAAACTTCAACTATGACTATCTAGTCTTCAAATCCATTAAAGACCCCAGAAGGATGAAATGTTACCTAACTACAAGGACATCTTGCTTGTTACCAGGACAGTTAGTCACCCAAGGTTCTTCTGTAACATTGGGGTATCTATCTTTGGCTAAAGGTCTTGTATTTCTGACACATTTCTGAGAAGCAGGGAATTTTGAAGGACTGTCCTACCTTGCCTTGGCAAAGTTTGACAGTTGCCTTTTTTGTGTCTTTCTGGTCCAGTTAGGACAGTATACTGTCAGCAGTTGAGACAAGGACATGTTTTTTTTGTTTGTTTGTTTGTTTGTTTGTCCCCCTCTCCCCCCGAAATGGCTAGCTTTTGCTATAAAGAAAGTAAATTCTATACAGAGTTTCTTCAATGCCCATTATCTTCTCTGAAGTAGACTGGTGCTTTCAGGAGCAGACATGTCTCGCTTCAAAGAAAAGCCTCAGGTTATTAAACATATTAAATGCCGTATTCTGTAGGTCTTTGAAGTGTTTGAAAATCATCTATCTAAATATCTCTTTATGACCTTGAAAACATACCTAACCTAAGTTTGACAATAATAGATGACTATTAATCTGTATTTCTTAATTATACTTTACTTTTTAATTGAGTTACATAAGCATAATACCCTAAACAAGAGTAGAAACATGCATATAGTATAGTAAAAATAACTTTAAATTTTTTTTTTAAATTTATGATTTATTTATCTTTTATTTTATGTGCATTGGTGTGAAGGCGTCAGGTCCCCTGAAACTGGATTTTCAGACAGTTGTGAGCTGCCATGTGGGTGCTGGGAATTGAACCTGGGTCCTCTGGAAGAGCAGTCAGTTCTCTTAACCGCTGAGCCATTTCTCCAGCCCAACTTTAAATTTTTATCAATAAACCAAAATCCATACCAGTATAAAATATTTTGAGATTAATAGTTGTTTTTTTGGTTTAAGCTTAGCATTTATAATTAATACTCAGTACCTGTGTTGGTTATTTGGGAACTGGTGATGAGGAAAGAAAAGTCCACCTACAGTAGTCCTCTTTCAGTTTCAGCCTCTTGAGCACTAGAATTACATACTTGTGCCACCATACCTAACTTAAAATTTGTTTTAGCTGTGTGTAAAAATATTCCTGTTTACAGAGATCTGTGTGATGTCTTGACTCATGTATCCATTGTATGTTTAAATCATAAGTGTTAGTTAGCATATCTACTCAAATTAATTTCTCTTTGGTGAAAATCTGCACAATCTTTTAGGACTGGGGATACATCTAAGTGGTGGGGTGTTCACATTACAATATGTGAGACCCTGGGCTGGATCTCCTGCCTAACCCCACCCCCAAACAGATTTATTACCTGTATCTAGTTATTTGAAAAATCTTATGTTCCTTCTCTCTTCTGGAGCTGCTTTTATCTATCTATCTATCTATCTATCTATCTATCTATCTATCTATCTATCTATCTATCTATCATCCATCCATCCATCTGACATGGGGTCCCATGTAGTACTAGCTGGCCTGGAACTCGACATGTAATCATGCTGGTCTTGAACTTGCAATGATCCCCCTGCCTTTGCCTCCCGAGTACTAGGATTACAGCTGCTACCACTGCATGTTTTGTTTTGTTTTAAAGCGTCCCTTTTTTGTTCTTGTCTCCAGTTGCTCAATCTTTTTCTCTTTCCTTTCCCTACAAGACAGACGTGCTGTGTTCACTTTCTACTCCTTTTCTCCTTGATGTCCTTTGTTGAAATTGTGTAAGTATTTTAGATCTTAAAGTTAGCATGTATTTATTCCTCTACTTATAGCTAATGGGTAAAAGTCTTTCTTACAGCTCTTGGAAGTGTAAAATTAAGCTGTTGTGCATTTACATGAATCAGAGACTTTCTTTGACTAGCAGTCCTTGTGTGTGAAGTTGTTTTTGAAAAGCTGGTTGACTAGCTAACACTTACAAATCTTTCCCTTTCTTTTTTGAAGCCTATGTACCTTTGTCTTCTAATACTCATGTTACTGATGAAGAGCACTGCTTACCTTTGTATAATTTATGTCTATTCCTAGGAACTTTGGTTCTTACGGTTTTCTGAAATTTCAGTAAGATTTCTTTGCTTGGGGTTGGACAGATGGCTCAGCTGTTTGGAGCACGGGCTGCTTTCCCAGAGGACTCAGATTCAATTCCAAGCAACTACATGATAGCTCACAACTGTCTGTAACTCCAGTTCCAGGGAATCTGACACCTTCATACCAAATGCACATAAAATAAAGTTAAATAAATATTTAAAAAATATTTCTTTACTTATTTTATTTTCATTTTTTAAGACAGAGTTTCTCTTTTAGCCTTGACTCTACTGGGACTGTATGGATCAGGCTGACCTCAAACTCACAGAGAAATACACTTTTACCTCTGCCTCCCAAATGCTGGGATTAAAGGGTGCACCCCCCAACCCCCAACTTCTTTATTTTTTTGAGACAAGGTCTCACTGGAGCACTAGGTGGCTTAGAACTCACAGAGATCTATCTGCCTGTGCTGGGAAAAAGTACCATATCTGACTCCAGTAGGATTTTTTTTTTTTTAAGTCTTCCCAAGTGTTTCCACTCTGTCCTGAGAAATTTCTAGAGCTTGTAAAAGATAAGGCTTTGGGCTTTGAATTCTACCTGTATTTCCGATACTTTTTTGTACTTGAGAGACAAGCTGAGAGGGTTTCTTAGTTTTGTCTTCTACTTAGTGTGCCTGTACTCCCATTTTACTGCTAAGTGTATTTGTATGGCTTAGAGTATATAGCTCTGTGATTCTCATACCGCTGACCTGTACCTCTGAAGTCCTTACTCCTTTTAGCAGTGTGATCATACAGTTGGCGCTCTCTCCTCGCTGTGGAAGTGACCAGTTTGTATTTTCTCGAGACTGTAGCCTTTTCTGGAAGACTTCCTTCACTCGGCTTGTTTTTGAGTTTCATAGATAAATTTATGCTTTCTTTTTGCAAGGGCAAGTGTTGAAAGCACTCCCCCCTGATTAGGAACAAACTCTATTCGTCTATTTTTTTTAAAAGATTTATTTTAAAATTGTGTATATGTGTGTTTGTGTGTCAATATGTGCATGTGAGAATAGATGCCAGAGGAGGCCAGGAGAGTGCTGGATCTCCTGGAGCTGAGTTACATGTAGTTATGAGCCACCTGATAGGAGTGCTGGGAACGGAACTCTGGTCCTTTGCAAGAGCAGTATATGTTCTTTTCCTCTGAGCCATCTCTCCAGCTCCTATTCATCACTTTTACACAAACTTATAAGTATCTGATTCTGTTTGCTTTTGAAAATCATGCATTAATTCTTGTAGTTTTGGCAGTTTTTAGTTTCTAATTTTTCACAGATGAGATCATATTATGTGTCTGAAGACATTTACTATTCATTATTCCTGCAACTCTTTCTTCGGATACTTTCTCATTTTTGTGGCACTTGTTCCCTTTTGGTGATTCATCCTTTGGTGAGAATTGTTGTTGATCTGTAAATGTCTGTAGATTCTGTTTATTGTCTCCTGGGATGGGGTATAGTGGGGAGATGGGTGGAGGCTGTCATTCCTTGGTGTGGCAGCAGCCAAGTGGATGCCATCCTGACTCAGGGAAGAGATTGTTTGCCTTTGTGAGGGTGAGAAGTACTCTTGGTGGCCTGTCGAGTTGCTCCAAGTCTGTTTCCTGACCATATCCCGTATCAACATGACTGCTTGAACTTGTCCCTGTGTCATCCTTGGCAGCCACTCCGTCTGCTGCTTGGGTAGAGCACCCCTGTGTGCTTGCCACCGTCACAGCTGTTTCCAGAGCTCTATTAGCATTCCTGTTGGTTCAGAACAGACACTGACTAGAGTTTTGTGTGTGTTCCAGAGTTATTTTAGGGGAGAATGTTAATAAACTTAAGCCTTCATTAGTCATTTCTAGATTTAGGGTTGGGAAGGCACATCTGTGTTCAGCCTGAAACCTATGGAGGCCAGAATATCATATCCCCTGGAACTGTAGTTAAATATGGTTGTGAGCCACCAAATGACTCTCCGCCCTCTATTTAATTTTAAAGTGTGTTTTGGCAACAGATAGCTTGGACTTAAAGGCCATTGAAACCTTTTATTTTTAAGCTTTTCCATTTTTTCTTTTTTTGGCTTCCCAGAGAATGAACCTAGGGCCTGATGTATATATAGTAGATTAAGTTCTCTATCCCTAAGCTGTACGACTAGCCCAGAATAGCACTGAGAGGAACTGACCCTGGAGAGTCTTAGGTCAGGCCGGGCCTTTCCGAGCTCTGTAGTCTCAGTGCTCCTTCCTTTGAAGTTTAGGAAGGCTGAAGATTTTGTTTCAGTCTTTGTTTTTCAGGGTTGAAACTTGTTAGCTTTTAAGTATTCACAGTATAGTTTGGGCATACAGAAATATTAGTTTGTCCTAATACTTTGATATTTTTGATTCACATTTCTTTTTCCCAAACCTTTTAGTTTAGAATTTTATTCCTTAGAAACCATAGCCTATGGAATAAGTTGCTAGTCAAGTAAATACAAACTTTTGTTTTTAGAAAAAGGTATTTTGACATTTTTTTTCCTTTCCCATTTAGTTTTTCCATGGTTTGGCTTGGATATTGGTGGAACCCTAGTAAAGCTGGTTTATTTCGAACCTAAAGACATCACTGCTGAAGAAGAAAAGGAGGAAGTGGAGAGTCTGAAAAGCATTCGCAAGTACCTGACCTCCAATGTGGCTTATGGATCCACAGGGATTCGGGACGTGCACCTTGAGCTGAAGGACCTGACTCTGTGTGGACGCAAAGGCAATCTGCACTTTATACGCTTTCCCACTCATGACATGCCTGCTTTTATTCAAATGGGCAAAGATAAAAACTTCTCGAGTCTCCACACTGTCTTTTGTGCCACTGGAGGCGGATCATACAAATTTGAGCAGGATTTTCGCACAGTATGCATTTTTTTAGCTTATATACAATTTATGAAAATTTGATTGTTTAAAATGATGCCAATTACAAGTGGTAGAATCACTTCCATTTATAATGGAGCTTGAATATTCTTGAGGGAAATGAACATCATATAAACTAGTGATAGTCAGTAGTTGATCTTCTGGCGCTTGTTGGGTAGTATGCTTCTTAACTGGTTAAAATATGTTGACATATATCAGCATAGCATTTTACCATTCCTTTAGTATGAAAACTTTTGACTATGGGATAAGCACAATAAGAGTCTATGAGGAATACTATCATTACATTTTATTAAGGGGTTTTAAAAAAATGAAAAATTTAGTCCTGGACTAGGGAGATGGATCAGTTAGTAAAGTGTTTGGAGGACCTGAGTTCATTCTTTAGAACCCACATAAAAAGACTGTGTGGGCTGGAGAGCACTGAGCATTAGGTTTTGTTTTCCTTTTGTGACTACTGCAAGGTCTTGAGGCTAGATCTTTTGAGGGTCAACGTGGTGAAGGTGTGAGTACTAACAAATGAATTGTTCAATACCCTAGCTTTCAGAGGCAGTGTGTACAGAGTTAAAATGTCTTCACTAACCTCTTTTCATGCTACCAAATGAGAATGTTTGACAGAAGGAGTTTTTCCCTTTGTCTCTGTCAACACAAAGCATAGCTCTTGCTTCATAGGAATTAAGTTTATTCTGAACCAAATACAAGTAGCCAGTCTTGGCAACACAAATTTGGACTGCTCTGAACAGCATGAGTGACTTTTTTTTTTTTTTGTGGGAGAGGTTACATAGCAAAAGGAAGCCATAGGCAGTGCCTTTCAAAAAATAATGGTGAAGATGTCAGGTTGGCAGGTGCTATTTTAGATGTTGTCTAATAACTTTCTTAAATTTAAGCTAGTGGTCTACTAATACATTCCAAAGATTTTAGCTGATAGTCTAAAAGGATGTTAAGTATAAGAATTGGTGATGTCTATTAAGAGTACTAAAGAACAGTTAAGAACTAACCAGTTAGTCGGTATGCAGACTTGCCAACATGTACCTGGCTTTTCCAGGGAACTTGAGTTTATATTGTTTTTATGTCTCACTCTTTCCCCCTATGTGTCACTACATACTTTATGGCCTTGCTCTTTTCTGATTTTCTCCCCCATCCCCCAGCTGGCTGTTGTAATCCTAGCAGAAATGACATTCACTAGCTAATAAGATTTTATACTCTTTTTTGTTATTTTTTTGTTTCAAGGTTTCTCTGTGTAGCTTTGGAGTCTGTCCTGGAGCTTGTTCTGTAGGCCAGGCTGGCCTTTAACTCAGAGAGATCCGCCTGCATCTGCCTCCCAAGTGCTGGGATTAAAGGTGTGTGTGCCACCATGTCTGGCAGGTTTTATACACTTCCCTTGATTTTTCTTGTTTACTGGTTTTCAGTGGTTTCTTTTCTATCTATAAATTCAGGTAAGGAGTGGAGTAGCAAGTGCTCCTTTGTGAGAGTCTCCCAGTGAACTCTGGGTCATAACTGTTAGGTAGGTGGAAAAAGATTTCTGTTTCCAAGATGCTGTAGAGGCCCCATAGCAACAAACATTTGAAAATCATTCAGGCCATGAACAGAGCCTCAGTTGTGTGAGGATTCAAGGGAAGAGTGCAGACTGGACTACGTATCCTGTTTGTTAATTTTTTTGTTGGTTTTTGTTTTTATTTGTTTTTCAAGACAGGGTTTCTCTATGAAAAAGCCCTTGCTGTTATGGAACTCGCTTTGTAAACCAGGCTGGCCTCAGACTCACAGAAATCCACCTACCTCTGCCTTCCAAGTGCTGGGATTAAAGGTGTGAACCACCACTACCCGGCCTGGACTATGTATCTTAAGAATAGGCATCTTAGACATTGATACAGAAATACTCAATAAAATACTGGTAAACCGAATCCAAGAACACATCAGAAAAATCATTGACCATGATTAAATCGGCTTTATCCCAGAGGCAGGGATGAGTTAACATACGAAAATTTGTCAGTGTAATCCACAGTATAAACAAACTGGGGGGAAAAAAACCCCAAAAACCCCCACATGATCATCTCATTAGATGCTGAAAAGGCCATCGACAAAATACAACATTTCTTCATGATAAAGGTCTTGGAGATAGCAGGGATACAAGGATCATTCCTAAACACAATAAAGGCAATATACAGCAAGCCAATAGCCAACATCAAACTAAATGGATAAGCCATGGCCTCAACTACATCTATTTCACTGTCTCTTTCAGCAGTGGTTCTATGTTCTGCTGGTCACCTGTGACTTGGCACACAGCCCCACAGTTGCAGTGGTTTGGATGGAAACTCTTTGGGTCTGTGGGAACCAGAGTTTGTCTTGGCAGTCCATCCTCCTGTTTCCTTCCCCCAGATCTGCTCTACAAGCACATATAAATGCCACACATCCATGGGCAGGCATGCTTTTATGGTTCCTTCAGTGTACAGATGTCTTTTTAAGTGAAATTTAAAATTTTTCTGTTGGTTGCCAGAGGTGGTGGCTCATACCTGTAGTCCTAGCATTTAGCAAGTGGGGGCAAGAGGATTTGGGACCAGCTTAGGTTACAGTGAGACTTTGGTTCAGAAAACCATATTTAAAAAATTGTTGGCTTATTAGAAAATCTGATTACTTTCTTTTTTTATTACAGATAGGTGACCTTCAACTTCACAAATTGGATGAATTGGATTGCTTAATAAAAGGAATTTTGTACATTGACTCAGTTGGATTCAATGGACGGTCACAGTGCTATTATTTTGAAAATCCTGCTGATTCTGAAAAATGTCAGAAGTTACCATTTGATTTGAAAAATCCATACCCTCTGCTTCTGGTGAACATTGGCTCAGGTGTTAGCATCCTAGCAGTGTATTCCAAAGATAATTATAGGAGGGTCACAGGCACCAGGTAAATCTTTCATATAAATCATTGCTTATACTTGATATAGGTTTACTGAGTTCTCAAGTATCACAGAACCATACTTACAGCACCCATTAAAATTTTGTGAAAGATTAAAATTTTTGAAACTGTGCAAGGAAACATTGCTTCTTTTTAAACATTCTGATATCATGAGCTCTTTTAATCTCTTTTGCTTAGGTTTTATTGTTGTTTCATTAAGTGTTGACTCAACAAGACTCGATGCATCCAAGTTTATGGTGTGCATATATAAAGTAGCTGAAGTTAACCAGGTAGACTTTTGGAAGAGAAGGCAAGAAAAAGTCCTTCCTTTGAAACCTCTAGATTTTGTACATATACATGCGTACATGCTTTAACATGTGCATACATGCACTTATACCACAGGTTGGTATAAGGTGACCAGGGGATGACCATAGGATAAGGGATATTGATATTCATGGGATGGTGTGTATGATAGTTTGATTGAGGATGGCTCCCCATAGACTCATGTTTTAATATTTGCTTCCCGTTGATGGAAATGTTTGAGAAGGATTAGGAAGTGTGGCCTTGTTGGAGGAGATGTGTTACTGAGGGTGGACTTGAAGATTTCAAAAGCTAGGCATTCTTAGCTTTCTCTGTTTCATAGTTGTGTCTCAAGATGTGAGCTTTCAGCTAGTGCTCCAGTGCCATGCCTGCCTACTGTCATGCTCTCTGCCATGATAGCCATGAACTCTAACACTGAAACTGTATGCCCCAAATAAACTCTTTTCTATATAGGTTGTCTTGGTCATGGTGTCTTATCACAGCAATAGAAAACTAAGGCAGTATGGATCTAAAAGTTGAGGTACTGATAACTAGAAAAAATGATTTGAAAAGGGAGAATTAGATAAAAGAAGAGAATGAATGTTTTGGTTAATGTTCAAGGGTTATTTGAGGAAAAAGAACTGAGGATTTGATTAACTTTACCTAATAAGTATTAGCCAACAAATGAGAGTAGTTTGGGGAAGAAAGGTTTCAATAGAGGGATCTTGTGGTTTAGTGACAGGAACTGGAATGACTTCAGAGGTCATTCTGCACTTGAAGACAGAAAGTAGGTGCCAGTATGATGCTGGGTATGTTGGCCTTACTTATGTGTGTCTGAGGCTTTTCATCCTTGGCAAGAGTAGACTGCACTGGGAACATATACAGGGAAATGGGCTCTATGCATTTTGTGTTTATGAGGCACTTGTATTTATCTTCTTGAAAACTTACTGGTATTATGCATGATTTAACTGGGGCAAGAGTAGACTGATAATGAATGTTGTTTTGGGGTTCATAAGTCTTAACATCCTTTTCCTGTGTTTTAAAAATACTACATTGTTTGCTTTTAATCATAGTCTTGGAGGAGGAACTTTCTTTGGTCTCTGCTGTCTTCTTACTGGCTGTAGCACTTTTGAAGAAGCTCTTGAGATGGCGTCTCGTGGGGATAGCACCAAAGTGGACAAATTAGTTCGAGACATTTATGGAGGAGATTATGAAAGGTTTGGATTGCCAGGCTGGGCTGTAGCTTCAAGGTAAGGGAGTATGTACATAATAAGAAACATAGGAGTAAAATCCTGTTAGATATATGTTTTATTTTAAGCAGTTTCATTGAAATATAATTTATAAAGTTAAGCAGTTTCATTGAAATATAATTTATAAAGTTATCTGTTTAAAGTATTTAATTTGGGGCTGAGGATGTAGTTCAGTTAGTAAAGTATGTACTAATATGAAGAAGCCCTGTACTAGTGTATATGATCCCAGCACTATATAAACTGGGTATGGTATATACCTATAGTCTCAGCTCTGGGATGGAGGCAGGAGGATCAGGAGTTCAGATCATTCTCTGCTTCATAGTGAATTGGAGGCTAGTCTGGTATACACAAGCACTTGTCTTTTTTTTTTAAATGTGTAATTTAGTGGTTTGTTGTATTTTTAAAGAATTTTGTAGCTATTTCTATAATTCAATTTCAGAACATTTTTATCATTCTAGAAAGAAACCTTGCAGTCCTTAGCTGTCACTTTTTCATTTTACCCTTCCACCCTTCCCAAGACTGCTTTTTTTCTGTCTCTGCATTGCTCTGAACATTTTATATATATGGTATCATATAGTCTGATCTGTCATGAGCAGCTTCATGTCACTTAGTGCAATGTTTATATAATTCTTTTTATTGTTGAGTGATCTGTTATGTGAATATACCATATCTTATGTATTTATTAGTTAATAACATTAGGTATTCCCATTTTTTTTGTCATTAATAGTGCTGAAGACCTGTGTATTTGTCTTTGTATGGACATTTAATTCCTGCCTGCCTGCCTGCCTGCCTTCCTTCCTTCCTCTCTCCTATCCTCCCCCCCCCCCCCCCAAGCCCCAGGGCTGACCTCAGACTCATAGAGATCTGTTTGCCTCTGCCTTGCTATTACTGCCTAACCGAGCGTAAAGAATTCTTTACATGTTGTTGATAAAAGTTCTTTTATATATATAATGTATATATTATATATGCATGATACACATAATTGATATACCCTCCTCTCCCCTTTTTTTTCTTTTCAATTTCTTGATGATATTTACAGTACATAAATTTATAATTTGTGGGGTAAGGTAAGGGGGGCAAGGTCTCCTGTATCTCAGACTGGCCTTGAGCTTGTTATGTTCTGAATTTTTGTCTCTACCTTCTGAGTACTAAGATTACATGTTTGTGTCAATACATCCAGATTATTTAGTGCTAGAAATCATGTGTATGGTTCCATATGTGCTAGGCAAGCAATCGAGACTACACCTGTAGCCTTATTTGGTCTTTTTGAGACTGGGTTTCAATGTGTGGTTCTTGCTGGCCTCAGGTTTTTGTTTCTCCTTCTACCTTTGCCCCTTGATTGCTGGAGTTATAGGTAAGTGCTATCAAACCCCGCCAGAAGCTTGCAATTTTGGTGAAGGCTCTTATGTGTTTATCTCTTGTGCTTTTAGTGACATTTGCCTCATCCAGGATGTGAAGATTAACTTCTAAGAGTTTTATAGATTGGGCTTTGACATTTATGTCTAAGACCCATTCTATGTTAGCTTTTCTGTATGGAACATAATAGAGCTCCATAGTCTCTTTTGCATGGTGTTTTTCACTTTATCTCTGAAGACTGTTCTTTCCCTGTTCTTTGGAGCCCTTTGTCATAGTAGTTGACTCTAGATGTTTGACTTTATTTCTGGATTCTTACTTTTCTTCTGTTCTGTGTATTTGTCTTTAGAACAGTATGACGTTCCCTTGTTTACTACAGTCTGGTACTAAGGGGGAAGTAGTAAACATACAGGATATAGCCCTCTAACTTGTTCTTCCTTTCCAAGATTATTTTGAATTTCTTGACTTTCTGTATGAACTGTAAGATTAACTTGGCAATGTCTATAAAGAAGACAGCTGGGATTTTGATAGGGACTATGTTAAATCTATTGACCAGCTCAAGGAGTATCGCCAACTTTTATTTATAATTATTATTTTTAAATTTTATATGTGTTTCCCTTGGATGTATATATGTGAACCCAGTGTCTGTTTGATGGCCGTGGAGGTCAGAAGAGGATATCAGTCTGGAAATATGAACCGTTGAACCTCTGTATGGGTGCTTGGAATCTAACCTGGGTCTTTGTAAGAACAAGTGCTCTTAGCCACTATCTCTGTAGACCTGAATATTACCAACTTAACACCGTCAAGTCTTTGGTTTAGGAAGGTGGGCTTCTTTCCATTTACTTACATGTTTTTTTGTCTTCCAGCTGCAAAAGATTTTTAGTACACAAGCATTATATTTTTTTGTTAAGTATATTTCTACTTAGTTCTCTGCAATTCTGTCAAAAATGGAGTCTGCTTATGCTTCCTCTTTCTGTTTTTGAGACAGGATTTCACTGTGTAGCTCAGGTCTCCCTTGATCTCTCACGTGCTGAGATGTTGGCCTGTGCTACCTTGCTCAGCTTGGGAGCTGTCTTTAATTTTATTTTGTTTGTTGTAATTTTTTAAAAAACTACTTTTATGTGTATGAATATTTTGCCTGAGGTATGTCTGTACACCATGGGTGTGCCAGGTGCCCACAGAGGCCAGAAGAGGGCATCAGATACCCTGGGATTGAAATTTTAGACCTATACTTGGTTATAACTGACATGTGGGTTCTAGGGATTGAAGGGGTTCTCTGGAAGAACAGCCAGTGCTCCTAACCACTGAGCCATTTTCTAGCCCCCTTGGGGATGTAATTTTGTTTTTTTTTGTATTAAAGTACATGTGTGTTGTTTTTGAGGTAATAAGGTCTCACTATGTAGTCCTGACTGGCCTTGGACTCTTAGAGATCTACTTGCCTCTGCTTTCTAAATGCTGGTTTTAAAGGTGCAAGTTACCATGCACAGCAGAGCACTTGGTTTCTAATAATAGAAAAGGCATTCGTGTGCAGGTATTTTCTGAGTAATAGGCACTGAGTAATGCTGTAGATTCTGTTTTGTTTGCAGCATTTGATCACTGGTCTTGATTGTTTCCTTATTCTTATTCTTGGATTTGGGTCATAATTACTAATGCAGCACTTTTGCTGATCAATAAATTTGGAAGTCTTTTATTTAACTTCTAGAACAGCCAGGTACTTTAGTAGCACACTGTGGAGTTCAGCTGTTTTGTACTCTATGCTGATAAAATGAGTTTTCTGTATTAGATGTGACTGTGACCCATCTGAGTGGAACAGTTGCACATAGGGATGCCCTGCTGATGAGAAATGTCTTTCTGGAGCCCTGGTGGCAGATCAGGCAGTGTTGCCTCCCAGTGGATCTGTAGGATGCTACTTGGATAGGGAACTATCTGGTACCAAAGTTGATTTTAGTAGAAGACAGGGCAAGTTACCTGCTCATTTAGAGTGCTTTGTGAACTTTTGTTTGAAGCTGAGCTCTCTTCAGTGGATGCTTCTATCATTCTGTAATAAAAAATGAAATGCTTATTGTAAAGTTGTTTTATCATAGTAAAGTAACTTTGAAGTTCTCTTGGACTGTATTGCCTTTGTTTCACCAATGGTGTATTTTTCCCTCCACCTCAGTTTTGGAAACATGATGAGCAAGGAGAAGAGAGAAGCTGCCAGTAAGGAGGACCTCGCCAGAGCTACATTGATCACCATCACCAACAACATTGGCTCCATAGCAAGAATGTGTGCCCTTAATGAAGTAAGGGGACATGAGATTGTTCTTTTCTCTAAGGGGAAATGATGACTTCCCTAAATGGGTCCCACCTTGGCCTTACACAGTGTCTGTCTTCTTACAGTAGTGCCCAAATGTAGTTACATGGGGGTAGACTTTAAATATGAGCTTTATTCTTGAGGATGAACTTTCTCCTCCCCATACACACACTTTTTCTTTTCCTGAAGATAAACATTGCTGCTGCTGGAGGTGAATGGCTTCTTTTGAGGAGAAAGTAGAAGGGGGTCAGGAAGGAAGCCAGAGTTAACTGGGGAGTGGGGTGAATGATGGGTAACAATGCTGAATCTAGATGCTGTGTTTTTGGGTGCTGTTGAGGTGTGGAAAGGAATTCACAGGAAGCCACTGAAGCTGGGAGAAGACTGAGCGGTCAGAGGAAGCCCACCTTGGTCCCCTCATCTCAGCAGAGCTGTCTTCGTGCTTTCAGCTTCTTTACAGTGCTGCCTTGTAGCATTCAGGTCAAGCAGCATTGTACAGGGCTATGAAAGAACCAAGAATGGGCTGCCCTCAGGGACAGAGATCTAGAATCCAGTTGGTGCAGCTTTATGGCTTGTCCCTATTTACACACTTTGGTTTAAATTGTTCTTTAAATAATATAGACATGTACCTTAAAACGAGACTTCAAGGCCCAAAGGATTTGCCTAAATTTTAATTTAGAAGAAACCATATACCAGATTTTAAAAAGTACTTCATTTGAGTAACATTATTTTACCCTTTATCGCATGTTCTCTTACCTGTGCTTAAGTATTTTAAAAATTTTTGAATTGATGTGCATACATTATATTTTTAACCTGAAATATATGGTTTGTGGCTGAATTGTGTATGTGTAAGTGCATGTGTGTGTTTGTGCAATTGTGAAGGTCAGATGACAGCCCAAGGTGTTCTCCGGTTCTGTCCATCTTGTTTTTTGATTTTTTTTTTTTTTTCAAACTGGCTATCAAGATCAGCTGGTCTCAAACTCTTAGAGGTCTGGCTGTCTCTGTCTCCCTAGTGCTGGGATTAAAGGTGTGCTCCATCATGCCTGGGTCTCCTTATTTTTTGAGACAAGGTCTCTCACTGATTGAAACTTGATTAGGTTAGGGTTGCTGGCCAGTGAATCCCTGGGATTTGACTGTCTCTGCCTTACAAGTGCTGGGATTATAAACTTGCCACTGCCCCTGCTTTCTTAGGTGGATTCTGGGGAATTCAACTCAGCACCTCACACTTGCATGGCAGGCACTCTACTGACTACGCTACCTCCCTAGGTCATAGGTATATAGTTGATTAGGTTTTTATTTTGTCATAATTATTCAAATAGAGCTGGGCATTTGGTTTCTTGAAAGTGGTGACTGGGGTAAGTATTTTGAAGTATGAACTTGTTCTTTGGCTCTTTTATTCATGATACAGGGCTGACTTGGGAGTGACTGTTGTGGTATCCTACATTATGATTGTACTTAGGGATCCTGATTGAGATTGCCTAAGAGTTTTGCACAGGGGTGTACCCATTTTGAACATCTTTAGCATTGATGATTGGACTACTTTACTGAATTTGGGGGTGGAATTTCAGGTAGACGTTTAAACTGCCCTAAGATTCTGCTTTCTTAGTTCATAGCTGAAGCTGAATTGTTTTTATCTGTCACTACCTTGCATATAATTTGCTTCTTTGTGCCAAGCCCTCTTTTTAGTTAGTTACCTTCTCTTTGCCTTGACCAAATACCTGACAACAGTAACTTAGGAGCGAAGTTTATTTGTGTTGGCTCACAGATTGAGGGTATAGTCTGTCGTGGTAGGAAGGAGGAACTTTGGTAGAGTGGAGCTGCTCATTTACATCTGGATATGCCAGGAAACAGATGAAGACTGATTCAACTGACATTTCAGTCTGTAGGATGGTGTAGCCCATGCTCAAGACGAGTCTTTTCTTAATTACCCCTCTGGAAATGCCCTCATAGACGTGGCTAAAGGTGTGCCTCACTAAGGCTTCCTACTCCAGCTATGCTAACAATTTTTATTGCCCATCTCAAGCTTATTCCTTGTCAACTTGTCACTAAACACCTCACTTTAAATCTAACGTTTCACCTTGTCTTCCTCCGAACTCCTCCCTTTTCTCCCCAAATTCCCCACCTACCTCATATCTTTTTTTAAAAAATTGTGTTGTTTATGGCCCACTGCACTTAATTAGAGTTGTTTGCATGAGTAAGGCATTATTTACTTTAGTAAGGCGGCTTGGTTTTGAAGCTGGGCATGGAGAACCATACCTTTAAACCCAGCACTCAGGTGGCAGAGGTAGGCAGATCTCTGAATTCCAAGACAGGCTGGTCTACAGTGTGATTTCTAGGCCAGCTGAGGCTGCGTAGTGAGAATCTGTCTTAGAAACAAAGCAAAACAAAGTTGGTTCTGAGACTTACCATAATCTCATAATGGTGAGTTTCTATACGAATCAAGGTGTAGAGTACAACTTCCAGTATGATGAGGCAGAGTAAATATTTCCATCCTGTAAGGGAGGAACTATGTAACAGAATAATAGGATAAATGTCAACCTTCGCAGCTCCGTGACCATCACTCGGGGCTCATGATGACTCATGAAGACTTGAGCAGGCTTTCATAGTTCTCTTCCAGCTATTGTTGGTGGCAGTTGTAGTTTCTCTCTTGAGCTGACTTCACATGGAGTCTCCAGTTTTCCTTGGCAAATACGCCATGCTCCTGGCACCTCCAGTATTTTAAGAGTCTACATTGCAACTTAAGGACTTCACTGTTTCACATAGTCACCTCTGGGAGCCTCCTTGTAGGGAATTCAACCCCATCCCATATTACTTGGTCCTATTAGCTTTCTGGAACCGTGGTGCAAACTTCAGAGACTCATGGCTCTTGGATCTTTTAACAAATATTATTTATTTATTTATTTAGTGGGTGTGTGTTTGTGCTTGCATGTCAGAGGTTGTGTTAAATCAGAGGATAGATTTTGGGAATTGATTATATCCTTCCAATATGTTGAATAAAACTCAACTTATTATGCAAGTGTCCTTACCATTTTACCAGACCAACTCTTGAGTTTGTGATGCCTGCACTGCAGTACCTTGTGGAATCACTGCTGCCTCCTGCCTTCAGCTCTAGATACAGCTGTGCCTCATTTTTAGTAGTGACAGGTCTCTGAGTGTCATTACTTGTTCAGACAGTCTTCTTTTAAATGCAAGTTTTTCAAATAAGTTTACACTCTTGTGGGGGTCTTAACCTCAGAGTGTCTTTCTGTTGTCTTGGTGCACTATCTCTGGTTTCTCTGTAATGGCAATAGTCTCATTAAGAGTTAGCGTCATTTTACCTGGATTCATGCTCCTTTCTTTCAAATTGAATTTCATTCAAATCTCTTGATGTGAAAAGTCTTCACGTCTTCAGGTCCCAGACCTCTTCACATCCTCCTGCGCTAGAAGGCCTTTGTACCACAGTCAGTGCTATCACAATAATAGCCTCGTTTCTTGGTACCAGTTTCTTTAAAAATTTAATTACTATTGTGTATATGGGGTGGAGTGCCCATGTATCATGGCATGCTTGTAGATGTTAAAGGGTAACTTGTGGAATTGGATCTGGCCTACCTTTGTGTGGATTCTGGGAATTGATCCCATGTCATTAGGCTTTGAGGTAAGCATTTTTTCTATAGCATACTGTTTCACTGACCCATTGGTACCAGTTTTCTGTGTTGCTTTTGTTTTCTTAAGAAAGATATCCCTCCTTTTTTTCTCTCCCTCTTTTTTCCTCTCCCTCCTCCTCTTTGTTTTTTTCCTCTTTTTTCCTCTCTCTGTCTGTGCGCCTCCATCTCTCTCTGCTTATACATGTGAATATGTAGATGTACATACCCATGCTCATGTCTGTGGAGGCTACGACTCCACATGTCTTTATTTTTCTACATCTTACTGCCTTGAAATAGATTCTCACCTGTCCTGGACTCCTGGTGCTGTGATTACAGGTGTGTGCAGCCAGTCTGGCTTTTTTCTAAGTGCTGGGATTTGACTCAGGTTCTCCCTTATGCTTGCGAAATAAACACCTTATCTATCTCCTCGACCCTCTGTATTTTTTTTCCTGTTGCTATAACCAAATTCCTGGCAAGAGCAACTTAGGGGAAGAAAGTTTTACTTGAAGGCATGGCTGTAGGAAATGCTTGTACTGTGGCAGTGTGAATGTGAGGCTCTTGATCACAGTGGAGGGGAGAGGGAATGCTGGTGCTTAGATGACTTTTTTCCTCAGAGTGTCTTCCAAACTTAAACTTCTGTAAGTGCCTTCACAAGCCTGAAGTTGTGCCTCACTAATGCCCTAACATCTTAATCTAATCAGGTTGACAAAATCAATCATCAGGGGTTCTAATATTTTTTTTTAAGCTTACTGTTAAGTTTTCCTTGTTTATCACATTTAACACACTTTCATAATCTTTTCGTGGGTCAAGTTTGGGTGAGCCCATAATTGTCTTAATATCGAATCTTACTAGATATATGAACCATTTGGATTGAATTTGATCCAGTCATGTTGCTCTGAAAAACTCTATGGGTGTAGCTTTATGAGAAAACAAAAATCAGAGTGTAAACTCACTGCTACTTTTCTGTGCTCAGAACATTAACCAGGTCGTATTTGTCGGCAATTTCCTGAGAGTCAACACAATCGCCATGCGACTTCTGGCATATGCTCTGGATTACTGGTCCAAGGGGCAGCTGAAAGCGCTGTTTTCAGAGCACGAGGTAAGGGACTTGTTTCCAGGAACTGACCTGGGCTGCAGTGGTCCTGTTCTAACTGCAGTGGCCTTGGACTTGTATTGTTGTTTCTGAAAACTATTTCTTACCAAATGTAACGAGGTATGTGTTCAGTTAGTTTAGTTTAAGCAATTTTTTTTTGTTACTGTTTAAAACAGGTCCTTCCTGTGTAGTGGATGTCCAGGAACTTGCTGTATACATCAGGCTGGTTTGAACTTTTACAGTCTCCCTAGTCTCTGCTTCCTAGTGCTGGGATTAGAGGCATGAGCTACCATGCTTGGCAGTTTAAGTGGATTTAAAGGGGGAATTTTTTTTTTTTAATTTTTTGGTGGTGTCAGATCAAACCCAGGACTTTTTACTACGTGGCAAGGGTTCTGTCACTCAGCTATACCATTAGGCCCAAAGGAAGGTAATACTGATGAGCATTGCCCGTATGTCTCTAAACAAGCCATCTGTTCTATTTTTTAATGTCAAATATCGTTTACATATGTATGTATGTTCTGGAAATGAATGGATGGTAATAAGGGCATTCCACACTGGAAACCACACTATAATGAGAATATAATACGTAGACAGCTAGAAGCCAGAGTGGAAAGGAGTTGGGATTGCTCAACAGGAACTCCTGTCTTAGGAGTTCTCCCTCTTCTTCCCGGTTTGGGGACAATTGGACAGGAGCCATGAATGGCTGTTTCTCTTTCTTCCCCTTGGTGGGTGGGTAGTTGTTTTAGTTCATATGTTATTGGAGCTTAGATGGTAATGTTACCACAAACATTAATGAGATTTTAATATGTGCATATTTAAGTGTTTTATGACTTGATAAAAGTTCTTTTAAAAATTCTGTACTTCTTAATTAAAATCCAAAGTACACACATCCTTTCATCAGAAAGATTAAAGCTTAAGTCATCTAACTTTTATTTATTTTCTGAGACAGGGTTTCTTTGTGTAGCCCTGTCTGTCCTGGAACTTGCTTTGTAGACCAGGGCGGCCTTGAACTCAGAGATTCGCCTGCCTCTTGAGTGTTGGGATTAAAGGCATATGCCATCAAGCTTGGTCTAGCTTTATTTTTTATTAGTACTTTACAGTTTGTGTGTGTGTGTCTATATGTATTCATATGCACATGTGTTCATGGGGTAGGCTCATGCTATGTTAAAATTAAAGAATAACTTCGTTCTCCTTTTTACCATGTTGGTTCTAGGTCAACAAGACTTGATGACAAAGTCTCCAAAAACCTGCTAGTTTTTGGAGATATAGTCTCAAAGTGTAGACTAGTTTGGCCTTGAATGTACAATGATTCTTGCCTCTTCTCTTAAATGCTGGGATTATAGGCATGTGCTACTGTGCTTGGCTTTTTTAACTTGTAAGGTTATTATATTAGTAAATTGGTACTAATTGCTGTTAAGTTTCTTACAGTTTATAACCTTTCCCATATTCCTATTTCTATAACACGTGACCTATTTTATTTTGCTTTTTATTAGAAAAAATTGTTAGCTGGGCAGTGGTGGTGGCGCACACCTTTAATCCTAGCACTCCTTTAACTCCTAGCACTAGGAGGCAGAGGCAGGTGGATCTCTGAGTTCGAGGCCAGCCTGGTCTACAAGAGCTAGTTCCAGGACAGGCTCCAAAACTATAGAGAAACCCTGTCTCGAAAAACAAAACAAAAAAAAAAAACAAACAAAAACTGAGAAATAGAGAGATAGGGATCTTTTTAGGTATAATATTTAATGTGTTCTTTAGAATCCACCACCTGAACTTGAAGATTTTTCTGTTTCCTTTTAATTTTATTGTTTTGGGTGATTCTGGGGATTTAACCCTAACCTGGCCTGATGGTCTGCGACTGAGCCACAGTCCAGTTGAGTTGTTTGTTCTTAGAATACTTTAATTGCTAACCATTGCTTGGATCCTTTGTATGATTCTTCTGATTCCTGCTGCCATTCTCCTTCTTTTGGTGAGGGTTTTGTCTCAATTTTTTTTTTTTGTTCTTTGGTGTTTGGTTGGTTTCAGGTTCCTGTTTGAGCCCACTCCTTACTGTTGGAGACAGTAAGGCATGTATCTTTTTTTAATTTCTATTTTTAAACTGGGTCTCACTCTGTCTGGTCTGGAACTCCGTAGGCCAGGTTTTCCCTTCTGAACGGATACCAATAGGTTTGGACCCCTTCCTCTTCCCCCTCCTTTCAGACCAGTCAGGCTCTGTCCTCTGTGATTGAGCTTAAGTGTCTCTTCTCAGCATCAGTCTTTGGCTGTTGGAAGTGTCCAGACCTTTGCTCCAGGATAGGACAGCCACCATCTGTCTTTGTTAGGGTTTTATTGCTGTAATAAACACCATAACCAAAAGTAGCTTGGGAAGGAGAAGTTTTATTTGGCTTGCATATCCCTGGTAACAGTCCATTGAGGAAGGCTAAGGCAGAAACTCAAACTGGGGTGGGGACTTTGAGGCAGGAGCTGATGCAGAGGCCATGGTGAAAAACTGCTTACAAGGCTTGCTTTTCATGGCTTGCTTAGCCTACTTTTTATGGAGCCCAAGACTGCCTACTCCAGGAGAGCATTGCCCACACTGAGTTGGGCCCTCCCATACCAATCACTAATCAAGAAAATTCCAAATAGACTTGCCTACAGGCTAGCCTAACTGGAAGCAAAGCGTTTTCTCAATTGAGGTTCCTCTTCTCAGATGATTCTATCTTGTTTCAAGTTGACAAAACAAAACAAAAACAAACAAAAACAGAATAAAATCCTTGCCAGATCTGAGCCTTTCTTTCCTTAGCTGCTGTAGTGCCCACTCTTCTTGTTGGAGTTAAAAATGACCTCATGGGGTTGGAGGGATGATCCAGTGGTTGACAGCACTCATTGCTCTTTCAGAGGACCTAAATTTGATTCTTTGCATCTATGTTGTGTGGCCCACAACTGTCTAACTCTAGCTCCAGGGAATCTGACACCTCTGGATTCTGTGCACCTATACTCACACTTCCTATGCATATTTTAAAATAAATCTTACTTGTGGTGTATTATTTTTTTCAGGGTTATTTTGGAGCCGTTGGTGCACTCCTTGAGCTATTGAAGATACCCTGAATGTTACTCGGAGGACTTCCTGAAACCTACCACAGGGGCATCTATGGACCTTTTTTTCTTTTTCTTTTTAAGAGACGTTTTATGATCGTGTACTACCCAAATCAGAGCAAGAAACAAATGTATTTTTCTAAGTCATCAAGATAAATTCTTAAAATTCTGTCTAATCTAGCAACCAGTAAAGAATTTTTTTTTCTTTCCCTGTGTAGACAGTATGAAGATTTGCTGTTTATAAGCTACTGTTATAGGTGGTGGCACACGCCTTTAATCCCAGCACTCGGGAGGCAGAGGCAGGCAGATCTTTGTGAGTTCAAGGCCACCCTGGTCTACAAGAGTTAGTTCCAGGACAGGCTCTAAAGCTACAGAGAAACCCTGTTTCGAAAAACAAAACAAAACAACAACAACAAAAAATAAGCTGTTGTTCTTCAGATTAGCACTATTAACTCCAAGGTGCTTTGAACTCCCAACATCAGCTGCTATGTATGCAGTGGAGAGCTGTCTGTACTTCTGGCAGCAGGTGACTGCTTGTCCTGGTGAAATGTGTGTTAGAATCTAACCAGTTTTATCAGGATGCCTTTGGAGATAGTCTTCTGTGCACATTCTGACTCATGTTTAGCCTCTATGTTAACATACTGAAAATGGTTTATTTAAGGGTCTACAAACTAGTGGATTTTTGTTCTGAGCCCAGTGCTCATGAATTTTAGAAGGGCACTTCCTGTTCTTTATACTCTTAACCCTTAGTCTATGTGGAAAGACTTCCGGTAGAATTCTCTTGGGTTAGGTGATTGGGGGACCTGATGAAAGTGGGTGAGCTAGGTAAAAAAGTACAGATGGGCAGGAAGAGTGCAGAGGAGGAACAATTTATTGAATAACTCGTGTTCTTCAGCATGTGGGGTACTTGTGGGGAGATGATTCAAGTGCTGAAATGAACAGGCCACAAGTCACTCTCCTTCTGTGTAGAATAATTTAAGAAGCATTCTCTGCTTTCATATTGTACACACTAAGAGAGGTCTGCACCACAGCTGAAGGCAAGGAAGGGCCTGTTTACAGTAGCCTTGCTGCTGGAATGGATACTTCAGGCTCTGACTAGGAATATGTTTCTGCCATTCTCAGCTATGGGTTCTGATGCCAGCTTTTGGGCAACAGAAGGCTCTTGTTGGTTTGGGCCATGGTCACTCAGGGGATGGACTTGACTGGCTGGCTAGCCTGCTTGATGGTTCCCAATTCCCACAGGGACAGCTGCCTTTTAACAGTGCTTTGGCCCATTGGACTTGTGGTGCCATTGGGCTGGGGCCTTATACAGCACAGTACCTGGGGCTCCAGGGATGGCTAAGACTCCTCAAAACTGACTCTCCATCTACCACCAGTACCAGGAAGTTTTTCCGATCATAACAGGGTTCTACGTTTCCTTACCACCTCCTTGAGTGACTCCTGTGAACTTACTACTACTCTGGGGCTGACTTACTAAGCAACTGAGCTGTGTTGTCTACACCCTGGCTATTTGACAGTTGTGACCAGTTAGTGCTTTGTATTCATAATTCTTGTCTTAAACTAGCTCAGCAGGAGGCATCTTAAACTAGGCAGAGGCAGGAGGATCTCTGTGGTGAGTCCAAGGCCAACCTAGTCTACAAGAACTAGTTCCAGGGGAGGAGCCAAAGCTACAGAGAGAGAAACTGTCTTAAAAAAAAAAAAGACAGAAAGAAAAAAACAAACAAAAAAACTAGCTCAGAAGAGCAAGTCTCAAGGTCACGCAGCAGTGGTACTGTTTTGCACTTCTCATTACTGGTCTGTTTCCTCTTTCCTCATTATGTTCAGCCCAGTGTCATTCCATGAAGGGTTCTTTTATTTTTTGAGGCAGTGTCTCCTGTAGTCCAGGCTAACCTCAAACTTGCAATACTGCAATATAGCTGAGTCTGATTTTGAACTGCTGATCTAGTTGCTTCCATATCTGAAGTGCTGGGATTATAGGTGTGCACCACTAGTACAACTCCATTGTAAAAGGTGTTTTCAGGGCCTCATCTTATCAGTTCTAACCTGCTTCCCTGGCAGCTGTGGTCCCAGCACTAATGTACACATTACATTTTATGGCCACCTGACCTGTGAGCTGCATCCAGTGGCTTTTGGAACCATCTTGTCTTCTCTCATCTGTCCAGTTCAGGTAGTTTCTTTGGTGACCAAAGTTCCATCTCACTCCTCCCACTAAGGTAGAAAGGAGGGTTTGTGGTCATGGAGCACAGAGAAAGTAGTCTGAACTAAGCTGGAAGATGAGAGAAGCCCCAATGGCTGGATGTAAGTAGGTGAGACAGGAGGTGCTGAGGGTGTCTAGGTTGGTTTCAGAGTACCCGGTTTTGATAATCCCCAGAGCATGGGAGCATTTGAAGAGACAAAGTAGAGGATGTGAATATAGGTAGGAATGTGAGGAGTCAGTGAATCCCCAGAACATGAGAAAAATGTAGAGATGAGTAGTGAAGGAACAGGCTGTAGGGAAAACAACATGAGGTAAAAGGACCTGGGGGTCAGAGAGCAAAGTGCTCAACAGGTACTTGATAGAAGGCATAGAAGGGTTGGTTACAAGGTTACTGTGGTGAAGCCATGGGCTGGAGCTGGGCAGCAGAGAGCTGTTCACTGCCTTGTGAGTGTTAGCAGAGGAAAGCAGCTTTATTTACAGAACTTTGAGTGTTAAGGTTGGGCAAGTACTAGGAGTGTTGCTTATTATCCAAGGACAAAGCTATGCATAAGTCACCCCAAGTGACTAGTGACAGTAGGAATGGATGGCATGGTCTGGCTTTTTGCTGTCATTGAGGCCTGATGTGTTTTCCCCCATCAGTGTGCCCCACGTTACCCCATGTTGAAGGAGGACAGGTCAGAAGTCGTTCAGTCTATCCATTTCATGCCCATCAGTGCATAAGTTGACAGGTACATATTACAAAGTATTTCAAAATCTGCCCTTTATTTACATGTGTTTGGGTCAATTACATGCATGTTTTATTTTAACAAGTGATTAGCAAAAAATGCATTAAAGTTTTAAAATAGCAATTAAATATACAAAAATATAGCTTACAAAAACCAATATTTAAAAATATTCTGCTGCAGAATTCTTAGTGTACAAACAGTCTATGAAACCTGAGGCTCAGCATTTCATAAACCTTTTTTGAGGGAGTTATATCTAGTAAATAAGCCCCAAAGGGTTAAACTACAAGACTAAAGTGCCACTCCCCTACTTTCCTGGCAATGACTTGTCAAGAGACCCAGAGGTACCAGTTCCAGGTCATCACCAGGAAGATGTCCTGCTTCTCCACATCAGCCAGGCTGGAGTGGATAGGTGGTGCTGAGGTTTCAACCGTGCAAGTCCCTTAACACTGGTGGGGCCATGTCCTTAGCTATATCGTGCCTTTGAAACAGCAAGGGTGTTCTCCCTGACCCTGTGAACAAAGGAACTAAGACTGTGGATACTTGCTTAGTCTAATTAGAATAAAAGCATCTTGAAGCAATTTGAGTTCTAAAGCTGAACTTGAAAATGGGCTAGTGTTCAACTCAATTAGTGTACCCAAGGCCTGTTAATTTTATTAAAAAGCCTTTATTGGCATTTCAGGTCCTCATCTCTAAGATTTAGTTAGATACTGTGATGCTTCCATTTTTGGTAATTTTTTTAAAAGTTTGGCTTTTATGTGTATGAGTGTTTGCTTGAATGTATGTGTGTGTACACCTGGTGCCTCAAATGCCAGAAGAGATCTCTGGGAATTGAAGCCACACGGATTGAAGCTGTGAGCCAACATGTGAGTGTTGGGAACTGAACCTGGGTCCTTTGGAAGATCAGTAACTGCTCTTAAGCCATTAGCCAGGCTAGAGGTTGCATGAAGGATGGGTCTCTACTTTTCAGGGTTCATCCTGAGTGGGCACAGGGACACTTTATTCACTGGGCTGCTGCGAAACAGGTGAGTGAGTGGGGTAGAACTTTGGGTGGTGGATGTTGAAGAGCAAGGCACATGTCTGCTCTCCCTTATGGTTGCCTAGAGGAGGCTGCTTTAATTTTTACCTTAGATGGCAAAAATGAACGTAGGAATGATTTCTGTTAATCAGAAAGTTGAGTGAGGGGAGCATTTTGTAGGAAGCATTTGCTTCTGTGGTGTCTCATTTGTAGACACTAAGATGTAATGACTATTGGCCCTGAGGACCAACTTGTGACCAGAGTGACTTGAAAGGCAGCTGGTCAGGCACCTGAAGAAAGTGTTTAGTGCTAGGGGGAAGACTCATCCTGGAGAGTAGGGAAATCAGCTGTGCTGTTTTATTAGATGGATCTGTAAAAGAATCTATATGAAAAAACAACTTCCATGTCTGTTCCTTTCATGTAGATATTCTGGAATGACTCTCTATATAAAGTCTCAATGTATGCATACAACTGTGTGCATGTGTTCTGCCCCGCCCCGGGAGACAAAAGGAACAATGAATTGAGTGCTCATGGGATAGATTTTTTTTTTTTGTGCAAGGAAGACAACTACTGTGATATGTGAATTTGGTGAAGAATTGCCTATTTAAAGACTCAAAGGAAGACTGAGCAACCAAGTCAGGATTCAATGTGGAGCTCAGACATGGTGCCCCGCTTTTAATTGCAGCAGGTGCAGAGGATCTTTGATTGTGAGGCTGCAGTTTCAGGACAACTGGGAGTACATAGAACCTGTCTCAATATATTGACTGTAGCAGAGCCAGGGGAAGACCCACTAGGAAGGTATGTGCTATCAGTAGCTCCTGTCCCCCCTCCCCCATGTCTGTGCCCACCAGACTTGACAGACATGTCTTCTAGGAACCTTGCTACAATTCCTGGGTGGTGGTTAAGGAAAGGATGCTCTAAGAGGCTGACCTGAAGAAAAGCACAAAGCAAATGAGCAGTGAGTAGACAATTCAAACTAGTGTAAGCACTTCTGCAGAGATCTCCCTGAAACCTCTGTGGGCATCTCAGATTCCCAGAAAATACGTGCTGTAGGTGTTCAGCACAGCTCAGAGTGACTGTTAGAAATCAGAGATAGCATGCTTTGAGACAGAGCCAAGGAAAAGATCTTTTGTCGAGAACAGTATTTGGCAATGGTGGGAGGACCCCTGTATTCCTCAGTATAGACCTCACCCAGAGGCCACCTGTCCATACCTGGCTCCTTTGTCCTGCTTCCTGGTTAGGTAAGTACATGCTACAAGAACCTTAATGGTCAGGGCTAGACCAAACTAAATTACACCTGGCAGAGAAACACAGATGTCAGCTTACACGAGAGTGACTCAAGCAGAAATTTGATCAGAGCAGGTTTGTTCATTTCTATGCCAGCTGAATTCAGTCGACTCCCTGGCAACAATGATCATGGCATGAAGTCCAGCTAGGGCTGATTTTTGTTCCACTAACCCATAGCCCACAAGTAGCACCCAATCCTAGTTATTTAAGATACCTGACAAGATTAAAAATAATCTGAGAGTAGACCAAAATCTTCATCCCCAGATAAATGTTACCAGAAACTTAGGAAATGACCCAACTGCAGATGTACAGGGAACACTGGTGGGGACCCAAACATCAGTGTAAATGTTGAGTTGCTGTCACTAGCAAGGGCCAGAATGACGTGGGGGGGGGGCTGCTGCAGCAGGAGGTGATACCCACCAAGCCAAGAAGGGGAGATGAAAAGCATACTTTGCACAGTTACAGCTTCCAGCCCAAGGAATGTCTCTTAGGAAGCAGTCACATGAACAGAAACGTTTAGGGGACCTCATTCAGGCCCAGCAGAATGGGTGTCCTGATACAGAGCAGAGTACCCGAGTACTCTTCCAAAGCCTGACTATTCACTGCATATCATCTACTCAACCTGTCTGGAGGTCTGATGAGGAATTCTGCCTTTACAAATACAGAGCTTTGGTAAGTCTGGCTTTTTACTAGTAAGGACAGGATTAGAAAAGGTTCCAGTTGAAGGTTCTACAAAAGCTGTGAGTGGTAATAATTTACAGTACTAACCATTTGGTGATCTTTAAGGGGACATTTTCTTACTGTGTCCAGTTATGCAATATGAAATGCTGAATGCTAACCTATAGCAAAACTAGGCCAGAAGAAGCCCACTTCTGGCATTGGTCACTGAAAACATTTCACTGTAAACTGAGTATCTGGGCATTTGACTCTGGTGCTTCAAACATAACAGAGGAGCAAGAGGAACATAGGCATGAATTCTAGGGGCCAGTCAGGCTAAGACTCAGAAAATGGTTTCATACCCCTTGCTCTGTATAGGAATCCAGCTGGCCTGCCTTAAATAGAGCACACACTGGGGACAGCCAATCCTCACCAACCAGAGTTGTAATTTTCCAAATGGACTCTGCCAAGAATCAACCCCTAACCCCCTTTTGCAAGAGAATCTCACTGTGAAGCCAAGGCTGGTCTCAAATTTGTGACCCTGACTGCCTCAGCTGGGACTATACAGGTGTGTGTACCACATTTGGCTTCCTTGGCACTCGTTAGACAAGAATTTTCTTCCCCATCTGAACTCAGCTACAGGAGGCAAAGGCAGGTTCCCTCTCATTCTAAGATTGGGTAGATGGCAAGAACATAGTAAAGGCCCCCCCTCCCCCCATTCCTCTTCATGCCAGGCTGTACTTCCTACAAAAACTTCCTCCATAACTGTGGGACAGCAGGACAGCAATTGAGGCATTACAGTGGCACTCTTGTGACGAGGGAGGGGAGAGCAAGCTGTAAAAGAATGTTCTGTGCTTTACATGGCTAATTTACAGTGTCCACAAAGCCTATTGGAGGCAGTTATCTCTAGAAAAGTTGGACAGGAAAAGCCAAAGAGCAGCATGCATTTCCTATAAAAACACCTTCAGTTAGGGATCTCAAGTACAAGTAACTGAGGTACACACCAATAGAAGGCCAGCCATGCAGGAGCTTCCTCAAACTATTTACAACTCCAGGTGGCTCACTGGCTTCAGGCTTCAGAATTACAGGGAGCTTATTTGGGATAAACGTTTAAAAATGCAGTAACATTTTTCTTACATAGAAAAGAAGCAGAAGAGAGGAGGGGAGGGAAAGGAGAAGAGAGAAGCAAAGTGTCAGCGTCCTGGTCATTCAGGTGGGTGAGCACTGGCCTTGGTGCGGAAGGAGCTGAGAGACTCCTTAGCCAGTGGGCTGAGGCCAGCAGCTATAATGGAATCATACTGCATTTGTGGGGTACTTAAGCAGTAGTACCCTGGCTCCTGGGTTACATAAGATAGTTGAGGTTCAGGGTCAAGCTCCTGCTGCATCTTACTGATGACTGACTAGGAGGGAAAACAGAAGAATGGCTCCTGACCAGGCCTTTCCAAGTGTGTCTAATGGCTTCAACTTGGAAGATCTAACAGCAAGTGTGAACTGGTGTGGCAAGGAGTTCTGCTGATGCTGTTCCATAGTCTTCAGGTTCCCAGAGGCCTTATTAAAGGGATAGAACCTGAAGAGACTTACAGGGGCTGCCTCACCACACACTGGCAGTCAGTTGTGCTTCAGCTGATGGAACAGCTGGTTTCACGACTCAGGATGCCAAGAGGGCAGAGACAGGTGAGGTCTGCACAGCAGCTTACAGGTCCACAGAAGGGTGTGGCATTGAAGTCCCATTCTCAGTTCTTTTTCTAATACCTGTGTTATCTTCCCTTCTGGTTGATGTGGAGGTGCCTGGGAGACAGCAAGAGATGCTCAGGAAATTTATGAAACCAAACCTGCAGGCTCATCTACCCCTCTTGGCCTAGGGTGATGTCAGAATGCTTTGGTTGTCACAAGATCCAGAGGCCTAGGGTCTCAGCTTGCCTTGGCTCAAGAGTTCTTCATGAGGCAAAGGAAGTGATAGTGGGTGCCCCAGGCAGCGAACAGCCCAAACAAAGTCTGCTGTATTCCTCCTGGCTCCACACTGATGTATCCAGCAAGTCTGATCCTTTCAGTGAGCTATACAATGTTCTCTGCCCCAGGGAGGGGCTCTTGAGGGGGACCACGGTCCTGTTTACTGTGCAACTGGGCCAGCTGCAGCACCGGCATGTTGCACAGGGGACACACTTTCCGGACTTCCAGCCACTTAACAAGGCACCTGCAAACAAGACAGGCAGGTGGAAGACATCAGCTCCAGAGTAAGCAAGGAGTCTGGGGTGGAATCTCAGTCTTAGAGTCCACATCACCCTCTGACATGCCAGAGCTTTTTGTCTCCCACAAGGTAACATAAAAGTACCACAACCAACACATACTGAGTCACATATGACTTCCTGTTAAGTATGCAGATGAGGGAAAGCAGGAAAAATAGAAATTTCTAATAAACCAAAATTTCCAGAAGGAATATGGATGTGTCTGTAGAAAGGAAGGTGTCCCTGCAACACCATGTATATCCATAGTATTTATTGTGACTTAAAATAACTGGTTTTGATTAAAATACAGCTTCAAGAGATGGAGCGGTTGTTGGAAAGTTCCAGCTAAAGAACTGTTTATAGAGGTATAGGGTGGGCTGGGCCTCTGCCCAAGCCTGCAGTGTTGGTCATGCTCCATTTCCCTGGTTCCTCCTAATGTCACGTACACATGCATGTGCCCCACCCTGTGGAGTGCTGTCAGTTTTCTGCATTATAGACAATTATGAAGCCATCAAGCTTGGTTGGCAATGCCCCACAGCCCACAGTAAATTAGATCACACTAAATAATTCCATAACAAATACTCACTTTCTGTGGAAGGCATGCTTACACGGGCAAATCCCCAGTTCATCTCGAGGCTTAAAGTCTTCTAAACACACAGCACAGAGCTGGAAGGCAAAGTCACAAGTGAGGCCAGTGTCTACCACAAAACGTGTGGGTTCCTGAAGCTCAGCTAAGCAACAGGACATATGGCTTCCCTAAGGCTCCTAGTGAGAGGATCAGGCTGCACATCCTGGACATTTGTAGTTAAAGTCAGCATGTGGAATAATATTAAATGCAGTCCTTAAAGCGGGCATGTTGAGTTGTTCCTACAAGCCCTTGGGAAGCTAAAGCAGGAGGATTGTTGTCAATTCAAGGACAACCTGGGCTACAAATAAGAATCTATCTCAAAAACAACCCCTGAAAAATCTTGAGACTTCGTGTAAGGGTTAAGCCTCATCATCAATCTGACTGGCTTTTAGTGGCTTTTAGAAGTCACCGAGGACACATTACGTGTTTCCAGAGAGGCCTAACTGAGGAAAACACACCTTAAGTATGGACTGGGTATCCACACTGAATATAAAGAAAGGAGGGGTAGGAAAGCCTGGTGAGCGTCAGTGTTCATTTCTCTGCTTCCTACTGGAGGGCACAGTGCGAGCTCTTCATGCACCTACAATCACTAAAGCCTTGCTTGCTGCCAGCTCTTCACCATGCTGAATGAATACCCAAACTGTGAGCCAAAATAAACGCTCTTGTGGCCGGGTGGCGGTGGTGCGCGCCTTTAATCCCAGCACACAGTAGGCAGAGGCAGGCGGATCTCCGTGAATTCGAGGCCAGCCTGGTCTACAAGAGCTAGTTCTAGGACAGACTTCAAAGCCACAGAGAAACCCTGTCTCGAAAAACCAAAAAATTTAAAAAAAATTTAAAAAAAAAACCGCTCTTGTCTTTTAAGTGCTGCCAAGTGTTTTGTCACAGTGGCAAGAGTAAGAGTGACAATACATGACATGCCTTAGGTATTGTCACTGTAGGGACAGAGGAGGAGGGAGGTGCCCATCTTTATCAGCTTCTGAAAATGAAGGTATTCAAGCACACCACTTGTACTAGAAAATTGCTCAAGGAAAGATTAAAATACTTAAAAGCAACTTACCTCATGTAAATTCAGTTCTTTAACTTTTTCTTTTAATATAACCTGTAAGATAAAAATATGCTCTTATGCCCACATAGACATATAGACATGTACCTTTACCCATGGCACCATCTCACCAGCCACATAAACGTGTACATAGTGGTTACAGTATTTACCTAACGTGTACTGGGCTCAGGTTTCAATTCCCCACTGCCACATTCACAGAAGTGATTGAAGAAATGTGTATACTATATAGAAACACACACACATATATGTATGCATATATGTGTATATATAGCTCATTTGCCTCAAACAATTACAAACAATCTCTTTTACTCTTCAAAACAGAATATTCTAACTTTTTTTTTTATAAGGCAGGGCTAGCCTGGGATTCACTATGTAGATCAAGCTAACCATAAACTCATGGAGAGCTGTCTGCCTCTTTCTGGGTGCTGGGATTAACAACATTCTTTAAAGTATTCTAAGCCAGGCAGTGGTGGCGCACACCTTTAATCCCAGCACTAGGGAGGCAGAGGCAGGTGGATCTCTGAGTTCAAGGCCAGCCTGGTCTACAAGAGCTAGTTCCAGGACAGGCTCCAAAGCTACAGAGAAACCCTGTCAAAAAAAAAAAGACCAAAATAATAATAATATAATATATTCTAAAAAGCACTTTTTTTTTTATTTTTTAAAGATATGGTCTCCTGTAGCTCAAGCTGTTCCTGAGCTTACTGAGTAGCTAATGATGATGGTGAAACTCTGCTCTTCCTGTCTCCACTTCCTGAATGTCTGGGATTGCAAGTATGTAATCCAGTTTAGGTGGTGCTGAGGGGTGGGTTTGGAACCTTCTGCATGCTCAGCAAACCTCTTTTAACTGAGCTACACCTGCAGCCGTACTGAATCTTTTTCAGGGTAGAGCAAATCTTGAGGAAAGACATTAACACATGCTCATCTGGATTGTGATGAAATTGGTGGAAGGAATAACCACAATTCAGTAAGGCAGCACTGCCGATGTTGTTACCACACACCCAGGATAAATCTAGATGAAATTTTTCTGAGGACTTGGGTGTATAATAATAAACAAACTTCTAAAATTAAAATTGACTTTACATTTTAATCTTTTATAAATTACTAATTCTCAGTAGAATCCTTGCCTGTCACATTCGCTTCCACAAAAGTCAAACAGAAGAATGCATAACCCTAAAATATGACATCAATGCCAGCAAGGTTCCAGGTCAAACTTAGGTACACAGTAAGATTCTATTTCAAAACAACAAAACCTGCCACTACCAACAAAAGCATGCTGAGATTATAAAAACATGGGTGAAAAGCTATGACCTGGAGGAAGAGAACAGAGAAATACATCTGGTCTCCTCTGAGCGTCTGATGAATTCTTCATGAAGGAGAAAGATCCACTCAGGGATGTGCATTCTAATTGAAGGTAATTTGAAGGGTTACAGATGACAGCATTTATTTCAGCAAATACTGGCTGAAACTCTGTCATTTTATTCTATCATTTAAATTTTATAGCTTCAAATAATACTAATAAAAGATCACATGAGAAAATCAAATTGATCTATTCTGTACTGCACACTGACAAATGAAAATCTAAGATGAACCCATATTAAGTGAATCTCAGTTTAAACTACAGACTCAGTCTCAAAGTTTATGGAAATGCACAATAAAAGCTAACTGTAATTAAATTTCTCACCTGTTTGTAGGCATAAAATTCTTTGTGTGCTTGATGTCTTAGCCTAAAAGACACAAATGAGCAGTGTGATATTGAGATTTTGGAGAAAGTACCCAGTGAACCATGGGATAGCACCCACTGTAAGTTCTAGTAAAATCTCAGCAAAACAAGAATCTCAACATATCAGATATTCTAATGAAGATAACAATTTTGTGTGTTAAGGAAAGTCTTCTTACTTAAGTTAATTTGTCTAATTCTTAAATAAAAATTTAAAACACTCAATGAAGTGCAAAAACTAAGTACACAGTTCAGAAATTTAAAAAAATGCATCTGCTGGAATAATTATCATCCACATCAAGATATAGGTTATTTCCGAGATCCCCAAAGCTTCTGAAATTGTCCCTCCCAATTAGTGTCCACCCTTAAAACTTGCCTGATTTGGGCTTTTATCACGGATCAATGTAGATTAGCTATGTCTGCTTTTAGATTCAAGCATGCATTGTTTGGTGTACCCTCCTTTGTGTTTAGTTTCTTCCAATCTATAGTCCCTGAGATTTTTTTTTTTGTGTGTGTGTGTGTCTAGTTACAGAAATGTCTGCCTAGCCAAAAATTAAGAAGTTAATTCTCCTGAAGTCAATGTCTGAAGACAACCCAGCAAAGTGGTAGAGGGTCAAAAGTTCAAGGTCATTTTTCATTTTTGGCTACATAAGACAGACTCAAGACAATATTACACATTAAAAAAAAAACAACCATGTACTATTTTACCTACTCCATTTAGGGCTGAGATCCACCTGAACCTAGTTTATGTGTTGTGAGGTAGGGTTTTAGATTCTTTTTTATCCCTATACCGGATTTACTGACTTTCTAACATTTATCAAGATCCTCCTTTCCCCATGAATGCAGTAGTTACGTGTCTGGTATCTGCATATAACTGCATCTGCAACATATGGATTTTGCACCTTGCCCCAGTGTTCCATCTTCCTGTCCTTGCATACTGGTTCCAATGGCATCCCTCAAAAACTCCGAATCCTGAATCTTGTGGGACTGGTATCCTTAGTCAATGGGCAGAGGCAGGAAAGAGGTCAGGTGACCAAGTGATTGCAGAGCAGAGGCTAAACAGCATCCACAAGCCAAGGAAATAAGGGTGGCTCGGTTGTCACCAGAAGCTAGGGAGAGGCCTCCAATGGACATGCCTGAAGAGACAGACACTTCTGTTGTCTAGACTCACCTGTTTTTACAGTGCTCTGTTGGGAGGGTCCTAGAAAACTAACACCCTGTGTCAATACTATGCTATTTTAAAATGCTTTATTCTAGGGGCTAGAGAGATAGTTGAGCAACTAAGAGCACTTAGTTACAACTTACTTACAACTCTAAATATGTAAAACACGCTGGCCTCAAACTTACAGAGATCCACCTGCCTCTCCCTCTTCAGTGCTGGGTTTAAAAAGTGTGTGCCACCGTGCATGGCTTCATGGAACACTTTTAATTGTTTTTTGATAGAGGGTCTTGCCATGTAGCTTAGTTGGCTTTAAACTCTTGATCATGTTGGCTCTACTTTGCAAGTGATAAGATTACAAGTATTTGCTACTAAACTTGGCTTATACAGAATTTTTATAGTTAGTTTTGGATTCGAAAATTAGGCTCTATTTAACAATGTGAAAGGTAAACGTGTTTAGATAATAACAACTCAGCCAGGCATGAATCATTAGTGACAAAATCTAACACCTCACCTGAGGCATCCTCTTCTGTCTCATGTCTCTGTGTTCCATGTTAGCATGGTGTTTAATGTGTTATGCAGATAAATAAACAGAGAGGTGTTTAAAGTCTTGAAAGACCAGCTGCAAGAGGCTTTTTTTGTTGTTGTTGTTTTTGTTTTTCGAGACAGGGTTTCTCTGTAGCTTTGGAGCCTGTCCTGGAACTCACTGTGTAGACCAGGTTGGCCTTGAACTCACAGAGATCTGCCTGCCTCTGCTTCCTGAGTGCTGGGACTAAAGGCTGCAAGAGGCTTTTTAAGGCATAGCTTGTGTCTTAAGACATTATCTTCTGACCCATGATGACTTCAGATGACAGTGATGCAAAATGCTTTTTACAAGAGCAACTTCTAGTAGACTAAATCAGGACTCTAGAGGCAGAGACAGGTAGATCTCTGAGTTCAAGGCCAGCCTGGTTTACATAATGGGTACCAGACCAGTCAAGAATGCAGAAATCTGTCTCAAAACAAAACTTAAAAAGAGAAAGATTAAATCTTGGAGATGATGACGTAAGTGTATTGGATGGGGTGCTAATACTGTGGAAGAACTATTGAAGAACATTTTCTACTGCAGAGTAAAACCCCTCATTAACCAGTAGGGTGAAGACTGCATAGCAGTGGGTTACTGAACACCACAGACAGTTAAAATGCTAAGCCACTATGGCCTTAGAAAATGGGCCCATTCTTACACAGATTTTGACCTTATGGTAGAAATAACTGTTTAACATATTCTGAAATATCAGAAAATAATAAAAATTGATTACCTAATCAGGTAGCAACAGAAGAGTAAACTAAGGATGAAGACAAATACAGCAGTGCCAAAAACCACAATATATATGTTGAGAGGCAGATTCTGGAATCCAATATTAGGCATCCTGAAGTTGTAATGTGGGAAATCTGAGCTCATGGATGAACTGTGGGAAAGAAAGATCGGAAAAGAATTAGGTGTGGATAAGCATGGTGGTACATGTCTGTAATCCCAGCCCTTGGGAGGAGGCGGGAGGATTGTTATGAGTTTGAAGTTAGCCAAAGCTACATAGCAAGACTGTAAAAATAAAATAAAATAAAATGCCAAACCTCCAAACACCCCAAAACAAATTCTCAAACTCCCTTAGAACCAAATAGCATTATTTATTTATGCATGGACAGGTAAAAGTTTTCTGATGCTTGACCTGAACTAAAATAAGCTAAAGTATTAATATCTTATTCTTCCTTCATTTATCACACCAAATATTTACCAATTTTATTAGATTAAAAACATAAAGCATTTCAGCTTTCATTCTTTCATAAGGCTCTTCATGAAATAATGCCAGTAGTTAATCAACACAAAAGTCTCAAAATGCAAAAAGAAAAAAATATTAAAACTCCTCAGTTTATTTACTTAATAACCCACCCCTTTATGTAGCAGTATTTACCTTATAATTTACCCCTACTTATAATGGAAATATATGAAATATAATGAATACCTCATGTGGGCTGGCAATGTGGCACACCTGACAACCTAAGTTCCATCCTCAGAGCCCATGTGAAGGGGAGAAAATGGACTCTGTGCTGTGGCACACGACATGCACAATAACAATAAAACACATATTTCTCAGAAAAAGAAGATTAAATAATTATATAGCATCAAATGTTACAGTTTGGTTGTTTCTCAAAAAGTTAAAGAGTTGGACCTGGTAATGCTCAGAAGCAGAGGCAGGTAGATTTCTGTGAGTTCAAGGCCAGCTTAGTCTACACAAGGGGTTCTAGATAAGAAGTTCCAGGGATACACAGTGAGAGACTACAAAAAGAAAACAAAATGAAAAGTTAAATAAGATTATCGTGTGATATATCCCACAGATCTGAAAATAAATTCTTGTGTGCTCTTAGTAGCACTATTCATTGTTGCTCTACAGTGGAAGAGCCTAGATGTCTACTGAGATGAACAGTAAAACAACTGTTGTTTCTCACCTATAATGGAGTCCTAGTCAGTCATAAAAAGGTGGACTGAATTCTCTAGGAACCCATCGGCCAGTCGTGAAGCAAGTAAGCTAACTTCAGCTCTTCACCTTTCCCTCCTCTCCTCCAAACCCAATTGTCAGTCTCACCCAGCTCCATAAGAGACCTTCCCTCTTTGCATGCCCCTCCCCTATCTCCAGCAGATCAGACAGATCTTCCCCTCCAGGCTTCCTTCCCCCAATTCCTCCATCTCTTTATCCCAGCCCCCAATTACACCAGGCATTCCCTGGGAAACTGCAAGCCAAGCCTGTCACAGCAGTGAGCAGGCTAATTGCTGATCTTCACTCTCCCTCTTCTACAAATCCAGTCCCCCCCCCCCCCAGCTCTACAGCAGACCACCTGCTGTGGCCTCTCTTCACTCTGCCCCTATTCCTAAGGGACTAAGCAGACTCTATAGGAACACCTTGCTTTCTTTCCTCCTGTGGACCCCTTGAAACCACTCCCCAAGCCCATCCCCATTCCCAAGTGCTAGAAACACATTTTACCTGGAACTCCCAGTGGCCACACCTGGCAGGATCCCAGAAGAATTTCCTACTAGGCATCACACAGTCACCGCGCTCTCCTAAGAACCAGAGAGGAAACAGAAACTAAGGAACAAAACACCCACACAACAAAGACCAGATATTAGCCCTAGAGTTACAATCATCACAAACCCAGATGCCTAGACACCACCATAAAAACACAGTAACAGTCAAGACAATATGTCTCCACTACAGTCCGGCAACCTTACTACAGTAGTAAGTACTGTAATACTCCGAGAACTGCAACACAGTTGAGGCACAGGACAAGGACCTTAAAAGCCTTTATAAATATGATAGAGGATCTTAAAGAGGAAATTAATAAATCCCTTAAAGAAATCTATGAAAACACAAACAAAAAGTAGAAAGAAATGAGTATAACAATTAAAGAGCTGAAAATAGAATCAATAAAGAAAGCCCAAACACCCAGGTGGTATCCCAGCACTCAGGAGGCAGAGACAGGCTCTCTGTGAGTTCAAGGCCAACCTGGTCTACATAGTGAGTGCCAAGACAACAGGACTGTTTCACAAAGAAACTTTGTTTTGGAGGGAAAAGGGAGGGAGGGAGGAAGGAAAGAAAAAAAAAACCTAAATTGAGGAAAATCTGGAAAAGAAAAATAGAAAAATTTGGGAACTTGAACAGGAATTTCGTGATGAGCCTCACCAATAGAATACAAGAGATGGAAGAGAGAATCCCAAGCATTGAAAACATGATAGAAGAAATGAATACCTTGGTCAAAGAAAATGTTACATCTAGAAAAAATACTGGCACAAAACATCCAGGAAACTGGAGACACTATGAAAAGACCAAATGTAGATTAGAACTAGAAAAAGAAGAAACAACCCAGGGCAAAGGCACAGAAAATAGACCAGATGAGAAAAGAAATTCCCTTGGCACACAATAATCAAAAGCAGTAACTATACAGAACGAAGAAAGAATATTAAAATCTGCAAGGGAAAAAGATCAAGTAACACATAAAGGTAGACCTATTAGAATAAGACCTAATTTCTCATTGTAGACTTTAAAGCCTGATGTAGAACAAAAAGATGTCTTATAAGCTGAGATCACAGATGCCATCCCAGACTACTATACCTAGCCAAACTTTCAATCACAATAGGTAGGGAAAACAAGGCATTTCAAGATAAAACCAAATTTAAGCAATATCTCTCTACAAATTCAGCCCTATAAGATGCTAGAAGGAAAACTTCAACCTAAAGAGGTTAACCACACCCAAGAAAACACAAGGAATAAATAATTGTAGACCAGTAAGTCAAAAGAGGGGAAACACATACACATTCATTATAAAATAACAGGAGTCAACAAATACTGCTCTGCCGTGGAATATTTCTTTACAATGTATGAATATATACACAATGATTGGTTTAACAAATGAGCTGACTGATCAATAGCAGAACAGAATAAGGTTAGGCAGGAGAGCCAAACTGAGAAGGCTGGGAGGAAGGAGGATAGAGTATGGAGTTGCCAGGAGGACGCAGAGGGAGCAGGAGATGAACATGCCATGTTAATAAAGGTACTGTCATGTGGCAGAGCATAAATAAGAAATATGGGTTAACTTAAAATGTAAGAGATAGTTAGTAGTAAGCGTGAGTTATCAGACAAGTGTGTTTATTTGAGAGTTAACTGGGGGACAAAAAAAACTCTTCCTACAAATGGTGCCACCATCTGGTGTAGATCCACATAAGACCTAGAAAAGCTTTTAAAACGTTCTAAATACACAAATATGGAGCCAGCCACAATGCAGAGATGTATCTCCCAATAGCAGCATACAAAATGGAGTCAGTCACCAACCACCATGAGTTAAGCCGAGTGTCAGGTTCCTATAGTCTCTCCACGTGGGCCACGGTTCAGAAAAGCTTCTCCCAGCTGCTGTCTGTGGATTTAAGAGCTCCACCAGCATGCTCTATGGAGGGTTTAGGGTTTTTATCATGAAAATAGAAAAGGTTGCAGATACACAATAAAGACATATTCAGACAGAAAAAAAAAAGGAAAGAAAAACCTATAAATGGGTTATTGTGTTAAAAAATATGGTAGAATCAGGAGAAAAAAGAAAAAGGGTAAAGAAGGCTCTTTAAAAAATCATCTTTGGATGACTTGTGTACAATGCAGTTTATATTTATATATACACAGATATGTATGTTACCTTTAAATTTTTATTTATTTTCAGAACAAGGGGATCAGACACCAATAAAAATGGATGGACCAGGTGACCCAGCATCTAAAACAGCTTCAAGGGTGCTGACTGAGATGATCCAGCATCACAGAATACTCCAATCAAGATCTAACGATTATCCTGATTTTCACAAAGTTCCCTCAAAGATTATCAGCACCCCCAGATAACAGGAAGCAGTTTAGAGAAAACAATGTCCACATTCCCAAAATATTGGTTATAGTTGTATGTTATCATTTAAGGGGGGTGGTTAAAAGTTGTTATTGGTAATGGTCAGGAAAAAGTTGAACAAAGGAGATTAGATTCAACGATCTCTCTCTGAAAAGAAAAAGGGAAATATAGAAATGATAGGATAGAATGGTAGATTATTGAATCTACTTTTAAACCATAAAAGCAACTACTAGACTTAAATATTTTACACTGGTATAGATTTGTGTATACTAATGCAAATTTGAAGTTAATTTTGTTATACTGTATGTATGTGTCTATTCTTGTTTGAGTTATTGTGCTTATGTAACTCATTGAAAATGTAATGTATAGATTAATAGTCAAACCTATAGTCATGTTAGATATGTTTTCAAGGTCATAAATAAATATACTTAGATAAATAGATGGTCTTCAAACACTTCAAAGACCTACAGAATATGGTACTTAATGTTTAATAACTTAAGGCTTTTCATTAAAGTGAGACATGTTTAATCCTGGCAGCACCGATTTACTTCAAAGAAGATAATGGGCATTGAAGAAACTCTATATAGAATTTGCTTTCTTTATGGCAAAAGCTAGCCATCTTGGGCAAAAAAACTGCCCCCACCCCAATTGCTGACACTTAATGTCCAAACTAAACCAGGAGGATGCAAGAAAGGTGACTGCTGAACTTTGCCAAGAGAAGGTAGGAAAGTCCTTCAAAATTCCCTTCTCAGGAAAGTTTGTCAGATATGCTAGGCCTGTAGGTCAGAGCTGTATGCCCAAATAATACAGAGGAACTCTGGGCGACTGTCTAGGCAGCCTGATGTCCCTGACATTAGGTAACATTTCACCCTTCTGAGGTCCTTGATAGAGTTGAAGACCAGATAGTTATAGTTTTCCTTAGCCATGATAAAAAGGTAAATTATATGTACAACTTTAGGATTTACTATGAAAGGTGGATAATAAAATATTTCTCTAATTTTGCAAAATACAAATAGACTGGACATTGTAAGTATAATTCTTACTTTTTTGTATATAATTTTACTATGTTAATGTTAAAACCTTTTTTATTTAGACAAAAATGGAAAATGTTGTGGAATATTCCTTTACAATGTGCAAATATGTGTCACTATAATTGGTTCAATAAACAAGCTGACTGGTCAATAGCTAAACAGAATAAGGTTAGGCAGGAGAGTCAAACTGAGAAACCTGGGAGAAAGAGGGGTGGAGTATGGAGTTGTCAGGCAAACCCAGAGGGAGCAGTAGACGAATGTTAATAAAGGTACTGCCATGAGGCAGTGCATAAATAAGAAATAAGGGTTGACTTAAAATGTAAGAGCTTGTTAGTAATAAGCCTGAGCTATGGCAGAGCATTTATAATTAATATAAACCTCAGTGTGTTTATGAGAGTTCACTGCAGGACAGGAAAACTCTGCCTACACTGCTCATTGGTAACTCTCAACACCAATGGTCTCAATACCCCCCACAACAAAACACACACACTAAAAGACTGGATAGAAAACAGGATCCATCCTTCAGCTGCATATAAGAAACACACTTTTACATCAAGAATAGATATTACCTTGGAGTAAAGGAATGAAAGAAGGTATTCCAAGCAAATGGACCTAAGAAGCAAGTTGGCATAGTCATCTTAATGTCTCACAAAATAAGACTTCAAACCAAAATAATCAGAAGAGATAGGGAAAGACACTACTTACTCAAATGAAAAATCCACCAAGAAGACATTGCAATTTTTAACTTCTATGCACCAAACACAAGGACACTTATGTTCATAAAAGAAACACAACCACGGCTTAAATCACATGTTAACTCACACACAATGATAGTGGGTGACTTCAGTACTCCAGTCTCACCAATAGACAGGTCATCCAGACAAAAACTAAACAGAAAAAACTAAATGGAGCTAAATGATATCATAAACCAAATGAACCCAGCAGATATTCAAAGAACACTCAATTGAAACAGTAAAAAAAAAAAACCAAAAAAAACCCTTCCTTCTTAGCAGAAGTTCATGAAACTTTCTCCAAAATTGAGCATATACTTAAACACAAAGTCAAGTCTCAACAGATACAAGAAAACTGAACTAACATCCTGCATCCTCTCTGACCACCACAGACCAAAGCTGGATATCAACAATAAAAACAAGAAAAAGCTTACAAAAACTAGAAACTGAACAATTCACCACTGAATAAAAACTGGATCAAGACATAAATTAAAAAAGAAATTAAAAATTTCTAGAACTGAATGAAAATGAATATACAACATACCCAGACTTGTGGGAGAAAATGAAGGTAATTCTACAAGGGAAGCTCAAAATACTAGGTGCCAACTACAAAAAAGGAGAGATTTCATACTAATAAAAGCACACTTGAATGCTCTAGAACTAAAAGAAGAAATCATACCCAAAAGGAGTAGATGGCAATAAATATCAATCTTAGGGCCAAAAACAATAAAACAAAAACAACAATGACAAAAACAATACTAAGAATCAATGAAGCAAAGAGAGGGTTCTTTGAGATCATCAGTAAAATTGACAAACCCTTAGGCAAATTAACTAAAAGGTGTAAAGAGAAGAAGTAAATTAACAGACACCAAGGAAATCCAGAGAATCTTAAGGACAGACTTTAAAATCCTGTACTCCAAACTGGAAAATTTAAAAGAAATGGATATTTTTCTTGATATATACATACCACCTACCCAAGTTAAATCAAGATCAGATGCACAATTTAAACACACCTATAACTCTATTTATCACTTCTATTTAGAAATAGTAATTAAAAGTCTACAAAACAAACAAACAAACAAACAAAAGGGCCAGATGGCTTTAGTTCAGAATTCTATCAGACTTTCAAAGAATTAATACCAATACTTCTCAAATTATTCCACAAAATAGAAACAGAAGGAACTTTGCCAAATTCATTTTTTGAGGCCACAGTTACCCTGATACCGAACCCATATAAAGATTTAAAAAAATTAAAGATGAATTTCTCTTTTGA